GGCTTTCTTTATATTCTGGAATTCGGTGTTGTCTTCCTCTATACATTTCAATATATTTTCAAAAAGCAGAGGGTACTTTGTAAGTCGCATAAAACATGCCATAGGAAGTAAATCCTTTAGCTGTAATCGCCTGCACGCTGGATGACTTTCTGCTTCATTAAGCAATTGATGCAGTCTTGGCTCTTTACGTCTCCTCTCTTTCAGACCTTCTAATGCTATTTGCTGATGTTCACAAAACGAAGCTGCAGCTTGCTTCAATTCATCACCGCTGCTACCATCAAACTACAATAAAACAAATTAAATCATTAGCCATTTAATTATTACGAGCACTCCAATGTTGATTATGATTTATATTTTATCAGATTCTTTCCTTTGCAGAATTTATATTTTCACACAAGTAAGTAGTAAATTTTATAGTCATGAGCTTCCCTTACCATTCCAATTAGTAAGTCTCCAATTCCAGTTGATTTTGGTCCAACTTGCTTTCGCCAAAGCTTGAGTCGTTGTCCTAGTAAACCGTGCCACTCTTGCAAACGGCGTAAAGATGAAGGAAACAACAATTGAAATTGCTCCGGTGGCAAAATTGCATTGTTCTGCAAAGGTGCCCTGAACACTCGATCCAGCAAAGCCAGGGTTCGTATATGAGAACGCTCTGTTAGAATAAGTTCTGAAAAAGAGATTTTAGAAAAGTTAATCTCGAACGTGTTACAGATGAAAATAAGCAAATATGATCATTGATAAACGCTAATGGGCAAATAACAAGCAATTGATAGAGTTTGGCAAAGAGTTTTATAAGTGCAAATTCGAAAACATAAAAAATAGTGATTCATAAATTTCACTCTCTTAACTTATGTTGATTCATTACTTATATATGAGAATATTCAGAATTTGGGTATAATATTCCTATTAATAACAGCATTGTTTCCAATCTTTGTACATAAAAGATTGCATCAATTTTATATTCCGTAGAGTTCCGTATGCCGAGTTCTTACAAAAAAAAAATGACCTGCATACGAGGTGTGACTGTTAAGTAATGAGACTGATTCCATAAAAACCGTGTATTTCAAAATTATTCTACAAATTTGTTATCCCCTTGGGCAGCTATACGATTCCAGCGCGTTTTCCATGTTTCGTAACATTTCTGGAAGGCTTAGACTGACATTGAGACGTTCGCAAGTACCCTCGTCACGGCCGCCTGATGTCCTTAATCGACTCAAAATGGGTTCCTTTCACCACCGATTTTACTCTAGGGAACAAAAAAAAGACACAGGGTGATATATCGGATGAATATAAGGCTGTTGTTGTAACACGACGATCTCTTTAGAGACGAAATACTGGGACACGCTGAGGGCGGTGTGGCACGACGCGTTGTCTGATGAAGAATCCAGTTACCAGCGATGTCTGTGCGCACCCTGTTGACTCGTTTTCGCAATTTTTTGAGTACTTGGCAATAGTAGGCTTGATTTACGGTTTTCCCCGATTGAACAAATTCTTTGTAAACGAGTTCACAGGTATTAAAACAGACAATCATCACTGTTTTCATCTTCCTCGTTTTCCACGTTATCACGCCCCTCCTTAAACTCCTCATGTGATCAAAACACCTGGGCACCACTGAGGCACTATCATCCTGCATATTTACAATTTTAGCGTACGTTTCCGAAGCTGTTTCGTCCAATTTTGCCCAATATTTTATCGATATTTATTATGTTTTCCCATTTTCGTGACGAGCACTAGGAACACACGTTTACTCAACAAGGCAGAGAAGGCAAACTAAACAAGTTAGAGATATGGCAAATATATCAATAAAGAGAGGAAGGATGCCGGGAGAAAGGAAAGGCGATTTCAAGGTCGCAGGGTTATCACAATCGTGGTAATATAATCAGTCTCATTACTTAATTGTCACACTTCGTATAACAATTATAACTATTAGGTTAAAGCTTTCGATCTTTTTTCAGTGACATTCAATATCTCTGTTTTATATAATTCAGGGTTTCATAGTACATATACAATGACGAATCTTTTGTGAAAATGTAAAACAAATTTTAATTTTGTACTTTTGGGCAGTGTGGTTGTGATTTTCCTCCGATATAAAATTCAACATAAACCGAATTTTGACTGATTAATTTATCTGTTATTAATTTACAAAGCGGAAAATTACGGCAATTTACATCTAAGAACCATTTAATGCACTACTAATTAAATATGCAATATAATGATAAATGTAAATATTGCTCACTGGCAAACCTGTATATCATTTTATAAATATTATGGATAAGTATGAAAAAACAAAACTGACCGTTGATAACTTCTTGGAATTTTTTATCTTTATCGGTGAGCGTGCCGAGTATTTCCGGTGGCACCTGTATTGTCCAATCTCGCCTATTTTCGCTTTCATCCGAGTCACCACCTTGAAGATCAATCGAAGTCGATCCAAGCATCAAGCCGCCCGCAGCTTGTGATGCACTGGATCCGCCATGCACGGCCTCGAGTGATATACTTGGGCTTTCTAAACTTCTGTATAATTAAATAAATCAATATTATTACTAATCATTTCATTTACATAGCGTATATCGTTTTAACTTTGCAGAAATATTTCTGATCTAATATAATAAGGAGCTTAAATGAGAACATTAAATTTATAAGAAAAAAAAAACTATAAGAAAGAATTCGTCATCTTATCCCAACTGTTTGGCGAGAGAGTATTTTCAACAAAACGCCTTAAAAAATGCCATAATGATCTGTAAATTCGTAATTATTCTTTTATATTATGTATATTGACTACACAATCAACTTCTTTTACTCGACATTAATGAAACAGTTGTAACAAAATCTAATAAAATATACATAATTTATATTGTAATCTATATTATAATTAACATAAAAATTACCTGGAGGAAAGACTAGATGTACTTGAATTTGTTGAACTTGCTTGCGAAACATTGTGATCTCTGCTGTCATCGCTAAAAATATAATAATTCAATTCTACACCAATCTTTAGATATATTATAAACTATATGTTTTAATATCATATAATATATATATATATATATATATATATATATATCATTTATATAAACGAGATAGATTTTATACATATACGAGATATAAGTGAAAAATAAAATTTAATTAACAAATCAACAGGGTTTGATTTCGGAAAAATTTGTTATAAAACATATATAGAACAGAAAATTTTGTGTTAAAAAATCATGTGATCTGAAAATCCCTGAAATTTTGATAGTGATGTAGCGTAGTTCTTCTCAGCAATATTGAAATAGAGTTTTCAATATTGCTGAGAAGAACTACGCTCACGATCTGAGTGCCATCAACCACAAAAGACATCATCGAGGCCGTGTAAAGTTTTTAAAAATCATTACCATAACAGAATATGTTGAGATTCAGCGTTTATGAACAGAAAATATTTTTACTGACTTTGGTGTTGATCCTAATTTGGTCAAAATAGTGCATAAATGGTATGGTATCACGACAGTTATGACAAGTCGAGACCAAAGACCATCCCAATGAAAGCACCCTGAGAGCCAAAAACAAATAAATACAACAAGCCCAATGAAATTTAATAGACGTCAATCTAGGTAGATCAATAGTAATTAAAATATAATAGTTTTAATAGATATCGCAACATTTTCATCGATACTAACCAATGAAGGTTTTGTAATGAATTAAAATTGAATTAAAGCGTCCATGTCGTTTTTGTAAAGCTCATTCAATGTCTTAATATAGTTCATATGCGTCGAATAATTAATTGTATTGATTTTATTTAGTATTAAATTGATGTATTTAACTGAAGTATTTTCAATTAGATATCTTTTATTTAGAATATTGTTGTATTGATTAATAGTTAGTTTTGTTTAATTTTATTTTCGTGCCTGATAGCCAAAGCATTAGGCAAAACGTATCGATTTCAAATAAAAATCTAAAAAATCATTGAACTTATTGATATAACGCAAGCCCTACCTTTAGTAAATTCAATATGAATCACCCATTTTATCTATTTTTTTGTGTGAAATGTTACTATATTTTACTATACATTTATTACCAGTTTATCGTTTCAAATCGCTTTAGATTGTCTTTTAAATTATTTTAAGAGTTTGGTATATTTTTTTTTTTAATTTTAATGCGTTAAAAAGAGCGAAATTAAGCGTTTCAATAGTATACTTTAACATTAAAATGGATTTTATGATAGATATCGCTTGTGTGCTCTAACAATTAAATATTTGAAAAATAGATTGAACGTACTTGGTTGTATAATGTGATATTTCTGCTGATTAGGATACTAATTATCTTTCATGAAGTTTATTAAATTATTTATAAACACGTATTTCTTGAAACTTTTAAGGCTTTCATGCCTTATGTTTGTTCTCGCAGACTAAGAAGATTTCCCAATGCCACATACGATTACAATCGATTTTTTCGTTATTCTATAGTTGAAAGTCGGACAATTGCGAAACGGTCCTGCGTGGATACTGACCGCCATATTTTAGTTTTATGTTACAAAATCTTTATATATAGAATTTATTTTAATTAAAGTAGTTCTCAACGCGCCCAAATATAAATAGAATAAAAATAGAAAATAAACGAGTTATTTATCATTCAAGTAAAGAAACGCTAATTTTGCGAACCTAGTCGTGATCTAAAACGACAAACGTTCGTACAATGTATTACTTCACTAAATATCATGTATTTCTTGGAAATAACACTTCTATTTTTTACGATTCATTTGACTCGTTAGACTAAATAATCATTATGAAACGTGCATAAGCTAAATTTACCTGTACTCACCATATTCTACAAATAAAACGAAACCTTTAATATAATATACTTATGCTTGAAATATAAACAAAAAATACTTAACATTATTTAACCTCGTGAAAAAAAGAAAAACATATCCTGATAAATTCCAATGACTATTGAAATTCATTCAACATTTTAACAGTTTTCAAATACTCTTATATTGCAATACTTTATGACGAACGCGGTACTAATTAGTATATGTACATCGAAAGGTAACGAGATGTTCAAAATTATATTAAGTTGTGTTTTACGGAAATTCATCGCAATCACATTTAGTCATGTGTAATATTAATGAAAACAACTAACTGCAATTCATAATTAGAAGGTTTAATTATACGATAAAGCGATGTCCATACATATATACGTACAATCGTAATTATATATATATATATATATATATATATATATATCAATATGCATATAATAGAATAAACATGATTAGCACAGAATATTATCACATGGAGGTACCTCATCAACATTTATGTCTTGTTACAATGCAGCACGTATTTCGTACGGAGGTTTAAGGGAACAGTGATAAACTAAAACATAGTTATCCTATTAGTGAGGTAACAGATTATTACGGCGACACATCTACTATGCCGGCATCACGCATTTCAAGCGCATGCGTTGCATTTGCAAAAACCCTTGGATATGTACCATTCTCTCCTATATGGCATATATATTGAAGAGCACAACGCAATTATGAATGTTAAAAATAAGTATTGATTGCATCCTTGCATATATGTATATACATATACTAAACAGTTTATCTAGAATTTTTGAAGGAAGCAGACCGAAATAAACCCCATTAACGTGACAATATTAACGGTCCTGTGTTTGTCGTATAATTCATATCCGCTTTGTGAAGCTTCCATAATTACGTGTCCATTCTTCATTTTGATTGTGTTATATATATATATATATATATATATAAGGTTGTCAAATATCTCCCTTCCGCCTTTTTGTATTATAAACCAACAGCAAAAAAGCGGAAGGGAGATATTTGACAACCTAATATATATATATATATATATATATATATATATATATATATATATATATATATATATATATATATATATATATATATATTTAAAGTTCATAACAGAAAATTAACTTAATAACATTGTACGACAGTATTTTTAAAAACTTAAATTTCTTTTTGGAGATACAGCTGTTTGACCATGATATTCCCCTTGTGTTTCATTCCTTTTGCGAACTTAAAACGCATTTTTGACAAATCATCATTTTCAATACAAAGCACACGATTTCTCGAGTTCTACTAGACCGATTTGCTTGAAATTTTCAGAGAATCTTCTTTAAAGACTCCTCTCTGGTATATACTAGACTCATCCCGAACTTTCAATGTTTATATTTAAAAATTCGAGAATCTCAAATTCAAAAGTGGTAAAAAACTCGTGGGGCGCATGGCATTGTGCCTTAAGGCAAATTGCTGGAACTTTCCGTACCAGAATTTTTTTTTTTTTTAAAAAAAAGAATAAAATTTTTGAAAAAATTTTACTTTTAAAATATTGGATTTTTGAGAAACTATATTTTTGACAAAAATTTACTTTTTTATGAAAACATGTTTTCTTTATTTTGAAATATTTTGAAAATTCTGAACTTTTTTAAAGCAATCGTAATGCTTTAACTGCATAGAGACGAAATATAGAAGCGCGTAAGCGCCGCATCGTCCTCTAACGAATAAACATTGGTACGGAACCCATAGAAATGTAAACAAAATTTATACTTATTGTTAAAATCTCTATAAAATATCTGATAATTTTATGTGCATATGTCTAATGATAATTTTTGACCGCCAAATGACATTTTTTTTTACTTTTTTCACTAGATCTCCGAAACCGCTAGGCCTGCCTTCATGAAAATTCAATCAGTTCTTCGTCTTGTCAATACAAGTAAAATGTTTTTAAAATTATTAAAATCGGACGCCGTTTGTGGCACTTCTTGCCCCGTATCTTCGAAGGCTAGACCTGCCTATGCCAAAATCTAATCAGCACGTCTCATTATCAACAGCAATCGAACGTTTTTTGAACAATTGAAATCCGTTGAACCGTGTTCCCGAAATCGTCAACGAAAATTTGTATCCGCGAGCACAGACACACACACATACATCCATTTTTTCTAAGATATGCCAAAATATTCAGATAAAAAATACATATAAAAAGATAAAAGATACATATAAAAAATTTCATTTTAACGCGAAGTTAAATATATACCATAGCGACAAAATTCTAGATTAGTAATCTTTTTTTTTCAATTCAGATTACTAGGTGAGTTGCAATCGTGAGCATGGTCACGTAGGAATTTTTTGAGACGTCCCACTTCAGCAATTGCTAACTCTTAAAATTGATAACTTTTTTTACTTCATTTCTGTACTCTTGAAACATTGATAAATAAATTATAAAAAAAAAATAATAGCGAAAAAATGGATTATCTTTTTTGCGATGACCTAAAATTTATGCCTTTACACTAAAATACCCCCTAAAGGCAAACTTCATAAACTTCCTGATGCGTGAAAATAATACAAATCCACAAAAAAAGTTATCTGTATTGGTTGTACACCATATGTTTTCCAATGTATTTTTTATCGCTGAACACGAATCTAAAGTCAAAATTCAGAATCAAATGGCAAAAAAAACACTTAAAAAAAATATAAAATCTCCCATCGACTAATACTTCTATATCATACTTAAGCTCTTGTCGTATTTTTTGTCGTTTCCTGGCCTTAAATGACTATTGCGCATTCACTTAAGTATTTTACAAGAAAAATACATTTTCGCGAGGGCTGCAAAATGTTGCGATAAGGCTAAATATGATACTTGTTGAATAATCTCGCATGGCTTTTAAATTTTTCAAATTGGTTCAGCTGTTTCACATACATAACATGGACACACTTTTTTCCAAATTTGGTCTCAAAAATCATTCAGAATGACTTGAAACGTCGAAAAATAAAATTACCAAGTCGTTTTTTTTGGCGAAAAGAAACTTCTCTTTCAGGAAGATAAAAATAACTTATCTGGTTACTTTTATCCGCTCTTCTAGACAAATATTCAACATTATATATAAAAATATATAACCATGTTTTGGGATTAATTAAAAATAGTTCAACTTGTAACTGATAATACTAAAACTTATGTGTGAATTATTTTAAACATGCAAGTTCATACGTGTTAATTATAAGTAATATTCAAACTATTGACTAAAATTTATCCAATGAACAAACACATTGGCTGTATTCAACCATCGATAATTTTAAAAATCGTAATTGTTTTTCTGTTCAAAAAAATCAAATACTGAAGTGATGAATTCGATTTAAGGTGGTGTTTTTCTGGTCTATTATTTTTTTTTTTTATATTCTCAAACATTAACTTTTCAAAAATATGTGTATAAGAGGAGTGAGATTAGATGACTCAAATTATTTTCGAAGATATAACTGTATGACCATAATAATCCTACACTGTTTGCCTAGAGCGTTTGTCTAGAGAGACCCACGATACCCACGATACCCACGATTTCTCAACTTCTACTCGACCGATTTACTTAAAAATTTTACAGAGATTTATTTATCCCCAAATTCCGATTGAAGCTTCCAAAAAAGAAAAAAATAGTAATAAACCTAAAATATTTTATAAATCATTTATGGTCGACGGTACGTTCCATCTTCAGAAGAACATTTGACAAAGATTAAAAATCTAATACAACAATATTATAAATGAATAGATTATATAACAAAATATAAAAAAACAAGTTTTTTTAATAACAAGGTTAAAACAAAAAATTGAGAAAATGAAATTATTTGTTTGCCGAGAGAAACGCGTTATAAAATGTTTATGTGCAACAAGGACCGAAACTTATCATTAACCCCGCGTCAATAATATAGTTATAAAAAAAAACTTTATAAGAATGAACTCGATATTAAAATGCTTTCATCTTCAAATATTTTAGCAGAATAATAAAATGATACTAGCATGAAAAAACTTGTTGAAATTAGAGAAAGAATATTATGTGATTTAAGAAAAATGCATATTTTATTAGTAACATCGTATACGTCTTTTATTAGTAAAAATGAGAACATTTTAATATCGGGTTCATCCTTATACTCTTATTTCTCGTTAGCTAATTCTCTAGTTTTTAATTATTTCCCATAAATATAAAATCATAAGACAACATGAACAAGTGTCGAGAACAACAAACAGAAAACTTTCAAAGCGCAATTTTGTATTTTTAAATTTATAATCCAAATATTTTACATCGAGCAAATTCCACATTTAAAAAATTTTCTGCCGAAAGTTGTCTCATATTTATGAATTCTTTACCTTTCTGCATTTGTTAACAAATAATTATTAAACACTTAATTTTTTGCTTCTCTACATCCGTTTGTTTCAATTTTTGTTCTTGATTACTATATTATTGACCCGGGATCAAAGTTTAGTTTCAATACCTGTTGTATTGAAAATATTTCATAATGTATTTTGCGCTTAGCTTTTTGACAGAATTCAGTCTGATTAATAACGTGATCTTAATAATATCGACTTACATTATAAACTTTCGTTTATAATGTAAACTCTGAAATAATTAATCTAGTAATTTCCTCGAAAATAAATAATAAGTTTTTTTGAAAGTTAATAAAAGTACACTCTTTGTTTAAAATAGTTTAGTTAAAATAAGTTCTTTAAAAGTTAATAAAAATACATTTAATGAAAAGTTATTGTTTTAGTGATATACGAAGTGTTGTTTATTTAAATGATTCAGGTAAATATAACTTTGTTTTCTATTTCTATTTTAAAGTTTCTACTCAAAAAACTTTTGTTTTTTATTTCGATATTTTTTTATATTATCTATTCATTTATAAATTTTATTATATTATATATGTTTGTTTATCGTCTAATATCGATTATGTTCTTCGCTCATGTCCTGAAGATGGAACGAACATAGTTCCAAAACGTGAACAATAAAAATAATAATTGTTTAACAAACTTTTTGAGTTTTCAATACTATTTTGGATTCTTTGTTCAAAGCTCAATACAACTATACATGTATTGCGTATAAATATATATATATATATATATATATATATATATATATATTAAATAGATAAGTCCTGGATTTTTTCAATATATTGATTGTTTCTTTTCCGAAATATATATATATATATATATATATATATATATGTTTAATTTGAGTTTAATATTCGGGCGTAACATCAATAAAAATAGTATGAGTTTTTTTTTAAATTTATTTATTTAAAATCCATACGTTTCGGCTAGCATCTTAGCCATCATTCAGTGGTAATCAAGTTAACTATAAAAATTGGAACTAAATAAATTATATGAAAGGAAATTTCATGGAAAAACAATAATAATAATAATAGTAATAAAACACAATTTTGTATCCTAATATAGCATATGAAACCATTATTAATCCATGGTATGAGTATGTGCACATTGATAAGATATGTATTTTTTAACACAAACATCACAAATGGTAAAACACACTAATAATCATGATAACTTGACAAGTTGTCGAAACTATGTATTTACTCTTCGGAGTTTAGGATAGAAATGTCACAACTTTCTCAAAGTAGTTTTTAGCATGTGTTGATATTTTTTGGAAAATTTAAAAGGCGATGGGATTTTGTTATTTTTTAAGGAATTTTGACACGCTATTAAGAAACCACGTGTTCGTTTCGATAAGGGCCGTATTGTCATTGCGTTTATTTATGACTCTGTCGTTATGTAATTGTAAAAACAACCCCTCAGCGAATCTTCTTTTAATTGTATTCTCTTCAAAATGTAAAATTTTAGGGTTAAAAAAATCGATATTGTGATTTAAATTTTTAATATGCTCAGTTAACATCGTTTTAAATTGTTTGGATTTGTTTACATTGTTTACATTTTGAAGAGAATACAATTAAAAGAAGATTCGCTGAGGGGTTGTTTTTACAATTACATAACGACAGAGTCATAAATAAACGCAATGACAATACGGCCCTTATCGAAACGAACACGTGGTTTCTTAATAGCGTGTCAAAATTCCTTAAAAAATAACAAAATCCCATCGCCTTTTAAATTTTCCAAAAAATATCAACACATGCTAAAAACTACTTTGAGAAAGTTGTGACATTTCTATCCTAAACTCCGAAGAGTAAATACATAGTTTCGACAACTTGTCAAGTTATCATGATTATTAGTGTGTTTTACCATTTGTGATGTTTGTGTTAAAAAATACATATCTTATCAATGTGCACATACTCATACCATGGATTAATAATGGTTTCATATGCTATATTAGGATACAAAATTGTAAGTGTTTTATTACTATTATTATTATTATTGTTTTTCCATGAAATTTCCTTTCATATAATTTATTTAGTTCCAATTTTTATAGTTAACTTGATTACCACTGAATGATGGCTAAGATGCTAGCCGAAACGTATGGATTTTAAATAAATAAATTTAAAAAAAAAAACTCATACTATTTTTATTGATGTTACGCCCGAATATTAAACTCAAATTAAACATATATATCAACATCAAATTCAAGAATATTCAAAAATATATATATATATATATATATATATATAATTTATATATATAATTTATCTTTATAAACTTTATATAAACTGAGTTTTAATATCGGGCGTTCAACGGCGATACATAGATTTGAAAAATGCATTATTATTCAATTATAATTATTATAATAATAAATTATACATATTGTTAGTATAACTTCTGCACTAACAATTTAATTTTAACTTGAAAAAAAAAATAGTCCAAAATGTGGTTATGTTTTTAATATGAATCATATATGTATTTATTTTTTAATGCTAAGTAAATAAAATGGATATATTAGCCCGGTCAATTTAAACCTAAAATCAGGGTGAAGGTTATAGTAACGCATAATGGGCTGTAAATTTGTAAAATTGCTTAAAATTCAATTATAAAAGAAATCTAAATAGTCCTCATAGTTACGATGCGAGCTAAAAAATGAGCATTGAGTCCAAAGGTAGAAAAAATAAATTTTCGCGATTTTCAGCTAAATGGTCAGTTTTATCGCTAAATTACCTCAAGCAAAATTGAAGAGCTTAAAACTACCTACAAAAAATGTATCAATACTCTTTTTTCTCAGAGCCGCCCTATAGCGACATCCGCTTAACGGCCTGTGTGTACGAGAAGACATTCAGTGTGTCGGCCCTTCCCTTCAAGATTTATCACTCTGAATTAAATTATTGATATTACGAATTTGTTATTGTAATTGATAATTCTTTAAAAGCATAATTTTCAATTTTTAAATATATTTTTATAGATAAAATAATGGGAAAAACTCAAAATATGTTGTGCAATAAATACTAGAGCGGCTTGCTGGCCCGTACAGCAGTGTCACTTCTGCAGAAATCTCTGTCGTAACGAAAGAGTTAAAATAATCAAATCTCAAGCAAATAATTATTTTGATGTACTCACATTGTTTTGGATAAATTCGGGTCACTTGTTTTTCGCCTCTGATTCATACTTCGCCTTTGAGATAGTCGTTCCTTGTATGACTCGGACCGATTTACGGAGACAGGTGCGCTTTTCGGTTTCGAACTATAAAAGAAGAAAACATATACAAACATTATATATATATATATATATATATATATATATATACAGTAGCGTCGGAAGCAAATTTTTGATGGGTGGGCTCGTTTTTTTTTGATAGGCAGGCAGTGGGTTCGTTTTTTTTTAGACATATCAGCCCATACAATTTTTTGAGATTGATGGGTGGGCTGAGCCCCCCATCAAAATTCATGGGTGGGCTCAAGCCCTCAATGTGATACATGCCTCGGTACTCGCAAAGTACAGAAGTCGTGGCAGAAATTACATAATTCTACTTACATTTTTGTTCAATAAAACTATCATTCTTCTGTTTACATCATACGAAAAATTATAAAAAATGCATAGTGTTGACAAGTTAGTTGTATAAATGTTAGTGCCAATCTCTAGTGCTGTGTACACTTCTCTATATGTAACCAACCAACGTCATATCCACTGATGATGACATTAAATTGAATGTCGAAACGTTTGGAAATAAAGATTATTTTATAAATCTTTGGCTTTTCTTTGTTTGATGTATCGCCCTCAAGAACTCACTTATATATATATATATATATATATATATATATATATATATATATAAGTGAGTTCTTGAGGGCGATGTATCATCGACGATGACGTAGAATTTTACGTCGAAACGTAGGGAAAAATAAAGATGTTTTGAAAAATCTTTACTTTATTTATATTTTTTACTTGATGTTACGCCCTCGTATTTAGTACGGTATTTAGTCTTGAGGCAAGTTACATGAACTTCCCGATATGTGTAAATAATCGACTTAATCAATAAGAAATAGAATAATTTATGAGTGATTAAAAGTATTTCGAGTGGATTTATTACACATAATTGAAAATGAACGAACAAATACGTTAACTCGGAGTATTCTCTTAAAGCAAATTTTCGCAAATTAATAATTTTTATAATTGAACCAGTTTCCGTAGGACTTTAATGGTTTAGTATGTTCATTAAGATCAAGTACTCTATCGTTATACCAAGTAAATCGTCTAATTTTCATTTTAGCTAACGTCAGAAAAACTACTCATTTTCTCAAACTTTGATGAATTTTTAAAATTCAACTACTTGTCGTAAGGCCGTAATATTGCAGTGAGTCCTATAAGACCATGATATATATCGCTAAAAAAAGTTCGATAAAAATCGGCTTATTTTTTTTTTTTTTCAAGAGTTAATTACAACAAAACGGCTCGGTAGATTTTCACCTGAAACTAATCAGCATCAATCCCAACTAATATCTTGCGAACAGTTTTTGATTTTTTAAAATCGATTCGGTAGAATGAGCTTGAACGTGGACGAAAAGTTTAACACTCTTTTTAAAATTATAAAGAAACGGCTTGGCAGATCGTCGCACGAAACTAACAAACGATAGTCCTCATCGAGATACATCGAATGGCTTTTAAATTTTTGGAATCGGTCCAGCCGTTTTCGAGAAAACGTCGATTTACGGCAAAAAATCTGTTCACATACACGCACACACACACACATACTTTTTCCAAATTTGGTCTCATTCGATTCAGAATGGCTTGAAACGTCGAGAAAAGATAAAATTAGCGAATCGGATTTTTTTATGAAAACAAACTCCTCCTTCGGGAAGTTAACTAGTAGTGCATGGCATCGTTCCTTAAGGCAAATTGCTGGAACTTCCCGTATCGTAATTTAAAATGTTTAACAATTATTTGTAAAAAAAAAGAAAATTGAGAAATTTGAAATTGCAACCATTTGATTTGAAAGCAATTGCGCCTCGTAGCCGTTTTAGAGACGAAATATCGAAGCGCGTAAGCGCCGCGCCGCATTATAATTGACATTATAAATTATAAAACATTATAAATCTTGATACGAAACCCATCGAAATGCAAATAAAATTTTTACTTATTATTTGAACAAACAAATATCTATAAAATAATATCTAATAATAAATAACGGTCATTTTTGACCGCCAAATAGCGTTTTTTATAACTTTTTTCATTGGATCTGCGAAACCACTGAACCTGCCGCCTTCCCAAAAATTTTGTTGTTAATTTTGTAAAACTAAGTGTTTTTTAAATCATTCAAATCAAACGTTCCGTTCTCTCACAAACCGAATTACTATTTTTGACACTTTTAGCCAAAATTATGGACCTGCCTTTGCCAAAACCTAATCAACACGTCTCCCCATCTATAGGAATTGAATTTTGAAACATTTATAACGGTTGATCCGTGTTCTCGAAATCGTCGACGCAAAATTGTATCCGCACACACATACAACAAATGTTTCTAATGTATGCCAAAGTGTTCTGTATTTTTCAATAACTAAGTACGTATAATCACACACAAAAAGATTCATCATGATGATGACACAACATACAACATGAAAGAATATGTGTTTGTCAATTTAAAAAAAGACTCGGTTTGACATGTGGCAAACTTACTTTTCATTTTGTACTTCATCTATTAAGCAATGACTGTCATCAGCACTCTCTCCCTTCTCTGGTGTCGATAAAGAGTTACCCCTTTGCGAAGTATTTCTGCTCAACAACATTGATGACGGACGATCAGCAGCTTTGGAATAAATAGTTAGAATAGTTATTAAAAATGAAAATTAAAATCAATCATAAATAGAACTCATTATTCTGGTTGAATGAATACATTTTTTAATTGTCATAAAAAATAACTTTGATAATAATTATTAACAATAAATAGATATAATTATTGCTTGCCTGTATTTGGTGTAATCATAATATTCTACATCAATAAAAACATTTTAGCCAAATAAAAACATAATAATTAAAATTTGCACTTTGGTACAGCAAAAAACATAGATTAAAAATTTAAATGTATAAACCGTGTTATTAATAATAAACTAACCATTAGATCCAGGAAATTCTTCAATGGTATCCTCCTCTTGCATGCGCTGCTGTTTCTCAGCTGTAAAAATATAAGAAAATATTATGTAAGTATTAGGAGTGGAATGAATATATATAGAGCAGAAGTTCTTTATTCGCGCTTTTGCTATTCGCGGCCGAAAAACTGCGACTAATTCCTATATTAACGGATGGAAATTTCGTTATTCGCGATAGTCAAGATTTCGAAAGAGCCTAGCAAAAGAAATAAGAGAAGAAGCTTGTAATTAGATCAATATATGTCGCAAAGTAGTTTTTGTTCACTTTCTTATGGTGACGAAATAATTTTAGCTTACAATCGACTAAATAATTAATTTATCTAAGTGATACCCACCACGCGGATTCCAAAATATATCCAACACAATATTTTTTGTAAATGCCGTCATTTTGAACTAATAATAAAAACTGACATATGAAAATCTTTATAGCCGTCTTCCCCGCAATCGTTGTTTTTTGGGAATATAAGCAAAGAGAATAAAAATGATCTCATTTATTACTCAATAAATAAAATAAATTTTTAAAAATTGCTGTTTCCTCTATAGTGAAATTTGACTCAAAATGACATGATACAAAACATTCCCAGTTTATTGAAAAAGAGCAATTCAATTGCTTCAACAATAAAAACACAACATTTAATTTGAATAATCTTAGCAAACATTTTAAAATGCACATCATCTGAACGTTTTCTATATGAATATCAATTGATCTTTGGAACTTTTAAGAGACAAATTTCTCAGGCAAGTATAAATTTGAATTGAAGAAACTGTTAAAAATTGCCGAACATATTACAAAGTTCTTCAAATCATTCTCTTAATCAGAACATAATTAATCAAAATGTTAAAAAACTACAATTACTTAAAACTTAAATTAATGTTAATTTTTCTTTATTTTGTCGCCTTGGAACATATCTCCTATATTACCATCTTGTATTCACGCATTATTTATTATCGGCATTTTTATGGAAGTTATCTCTTGACAATAATACCTGTATAATTAAATAAATATTGTATATATTAAATTTTTAATATATATATATATATATATACATATTTATATACATCAGTGATTCCCAAACTTATTTCACCTACCGCCCCCTTTTCAGAAAAAATGTTACTCAGCGCCCCCCCTTACAAACTTTCCGAAGGAGAAGTTTGTTTTCATAAAAAAATCTGACTCGCTAATTTTATGTTTTCTCGACGTTTCAAGCCATTCTGAATCGAATGAGACCAACATTTGGAAAAAGTATGTGTGTGTATGTGTGTGTGTGTACGTGAACAGATTTTTTGCCGTAAATCGACGTTTTCTCAAAAAGGACTGGATCAATTTCAAAAATCTAATAGCCATTCGATGTATCTCGATGAGGACTATTGTTTGTCAGTTTTGTGCGACGATCGGCCAAGCCGCTTCTTTATAAATAGCAGAAAAGTGAAAAATTTTTCGTCCACGTTTTAGCCCGCAATTCTGAATGTATTTTGAAAATTCAAAAACCGTTCAAAAGATATTGGTTGAGAATCGACCTGATTAGTTTTTGGTAATGATCGGCCGGGCCGTTTTCTTGTAATAAAGTGTTTTTATTAATATAAGTAGTAGTAGTTAATAAGTAGTAGTAATTTTTTAGACTATTTTTATATTTTTTTGACGGTCTACCACAGTCTTATAGACAGGTATACGACAGTCTTATAGATCATACTAAAATATTACGGTCCTACGACAAGTCGTTAAATTTTGAAAATTCGTCAAAGTTTGTCAAAATTAGAACTTTCAACGATGTTTGCTTAAAAGCGCATAAACCGATTTTAAAAATTTAGGAGCCAATCGATGTATTTCAATTATAATTTTAATGTGAGGGAAAAGGAATGACGGGGGGTGCGCTCGTACCTGCGGTTTGTTCGCAAAAAGTAATAATGGGAGTCGCATTAAAATTCAAGCAATAGACTCGGAAATTAATACCATATCAAAATCACTATTCCAAAAATAACGCGTTAAATCTCAATCCAGAAGCCTTAAGCTCAACGGTGTTGTTGGAATTTCAACGAAATCGAATAATTTTAAAAATTTAGAAATATTTAATGAAGATGGTACATTTGCAAAAAATGAAAAAATTTAAATGCCTTTGTACTTACGAAAATATCGAGTTTACTACCCGCGCAGCAAATCCAAATTGCTGAACTAAATCTTCCTAATGGATTAAAACTTTTAGATTCACACTTAATTATTCCGCGCGAAGTAGATATGTTGATAGGTGCTGATACGTTTTTTGAAATTTTAGGTAACGAAAGAATTATAATAGACCCCGATAAATCTGTTTTACAAAACGCGGCATTCGGGTGGACAGTTACGGGTAGATATCAAAGAAATATAATTAATAGCACGACAACTAATGATCATATATCCGCCAATCTTACAGATTCTCTTACAAAAAATCTCTTAAAGAATCCCTTACAAAATTTGGTGAAGTTACACGCTTTGAAAAGTTACACAAATTATCGACATACAAAGAAACATATGAACCATTCTTTTCATTAAACCTTTTGCGAAACAAGAATTGGCGGTGCATAGTTTTAAAACTGATTTACTTACTACTACACCCATTCAGATATGTTTGAATAACTTCAACTAAAATATTATCTTTATATAATTCAGTGTTAATTTTAATCATTTATTTATATATAATATTAATATTATAATATTTTTTTAGTTTTGTACTTTAAACGCCCCTTACAACTAAGCATCGCCCCCAAAATACACCAAAGCCCATCACCGCCCCCCAGAATCGCCGCAGCGCCCCCAAGGGGGTGCTGGCGCCTACTTTGGGAATCACTGATATACATATATACAGTAGCGTCGGATTATAATGAAAAAGTAAGTTCCACAAAGGAAATATTTCCAAAAATAAAAATGCCAGCCCTTCGGTCGCGAGGGTCTCGAATTAGTGGGGGTGTTGGTCTATTAAAGTATATATATATATGGTAAAACTTACTATTGATAAAATGATGGTTAGGTCTTATCTTCTCCATAAGTTTAGATATTCGTCGATCCGTTTGATTTTGTTTTGATTTGGAATTCGTATTGACAGGAGGGCCAGGACAATCCTCCTCGAGAACACGACTGCAACCTCTATGGATATTTAGTCCACAATCTACAAAAATATAGTTTATGTAAAGAATCTGCTAATTTGATATAGCTACTGCATAAATGCAACTTTGAAATATTGAAAAAATATTCGATTAAAAAAAGGCAGAAAAATTGAAATGAAAAAAACATATAAAACAATAAAAGCAATTATTATAACAAACATATACCAGAACAATGGTATCCTTGTGGTCCAACTCCCCATATGATATCATGACACTGATTGCAATGTGTTACAATATAATATTGCCGGAACAGTAAATGATGTTCTCGAACCACCAACTATGAAAAAATAAAAACAATTACCTCACTGCATTTATTTGGTCAAAAAAAAAAAGAGCAATGTTGCATTTACTCTAATGCTATAAATTGAAATTCCAGTAAATACATTAAACTCTTTTGAATATGATTGTGAAACAACTAAAAATTGATAACTGAATAAAGTCATTAGATTAACATTTGGTGGAAAAATATTATTAATATTGAAAAAAGTATAATTTGATAATTCGAATGAGAGATTATGTAAATCAGACTGTAGAATTCCAAGTAGCTCTACAGAATATAATCAAAAAAAAAAAAACAAACATTGTGAGATAATAAAAATGACCAATATTGTTGGCATAAGTGTACTACAAAACGACCATAATGTCACACACATTACAGCAAAACTTCAAAATTTATGATACTTCTTGAATAAACCTATACGCCTACCTTTCTACTTTTTCCAATAAGCTTGCCTCTGAATGTCTTCTCTTTGCTAACAAATGTAGGGCATCGTTCTAAGACTGAAGATGACAGATACTGTGAATTGAGTGATATACGAAACCATCGTAAGAGAACTGTGGCCAAAGCTTGTGCTGTTGCATACCGCTTATAATCAACATTTTCTTTATTTGAATCCAAGTCTTCTCTGTAATAACAAATGTATGCCAGTCAATGAAATGCACTGTAAATCCATGATTATATTAATGGTTATTTCACTTACAAATATGATTCCAAATTTGACAATAAAGCCATTTCAATTACTCGAATTTCTTTAGACCTATCGCCAATGGCAGTGTCAAGTGAAATATCATTAGGCCCAAACATCATTCCTAAACCAACTGTCCTTGTCACTTGGAAGTGATTTAGCTGTGCTGTAAGTTCTTCCTTAGCTCTGCAATATTATAATACTAATGTAGTAATATGTATACAAGTACGTACAGACATATATATATATATATATATATATATATATATATATATATATATATATATATAGAAGAAAATATTGCCCACTTACTTTGTTCTAGCCCTTAAAAATATTTTTCTTAAAATTTCTTCCTTATCAGATTCATAAAGCAAAACATCATCTATTTCTCTTGCCATAGTTTCATCTACATTACGAAGATGTAAAGGCTAAAATATTGATCTTATTTTTATAAAAAAATCCAAGCTAAAAAAATGTAGTATAATAGTTAGACTTACTGCTCCAGGCACTAAAAAGGTAGAATGTATTTCATAAGCCCATCTTCGCATATCTTTTAGATTTCCATCTCTGTATATATCTGTGATAAGATAAAAAAGCAATGATGCTGGCTGTGCATTAGTGAACAAATAATTTAGAAATACAGCAACGTGGCCCGGATGCTCCAGTAACAAACGTAATGATTTAAAAGGTCCATGTTCCTCCACAGTTGTCTAAAATTTTTGAACAAACGTCAAAAAATCAAAATTATTATTTTGTTGTTCAAGCACCATTATGTCAATTAATTTTAAGAAAGTACATTGTAAATATATACTTCATAATGTGAGTATAAAATACCTCTGAGTCTGAGACTTCTTCATCTTCCATGGAAATAATATGTTGTTGCGACGTAACACTTTGTGCTGCCTGTATTGAGTCAGATGTATTAGTTAAGGTTCCTTTTCTGTCATGCAAATCTTCCGATTTTGTAATAGAGTTACAAAACTGAAAATTCCATGCATCTGCTATTTCCTGAAATAAATATTTATAGATTATACAATTATACACAAAAATATAACTACAAGATATTTAGAGAAATAAATCAATAAACAAATGCTTGGTATCCACATTTAAAAAAAGTTGAATTTCTAAGAACATTGGCAATACTTAATGTACCTCATCTGCATTAGTTAATGATGGATATGGTGGAGGAGGTGTACCCGGCGGTGTAGCTTCTGGATGACCCCAAGACCCTCTAGAACTCTTACTTTGTCTTTCTGCTATTGAAAAAAAAGAATGAATAGTAACTTCTAAGACAAAGTAGTTTAACTTGAATCTTATGAATAATCAAAAAATAAAACAATAAATAAGAACAATATAAACAAAAATTAAATAACAAATAACTAAATTTTGATTTACCACAGTTGCTAGGTGATATCACAACCGGATCTGAAGAAGATTGTGTACGTTTATGACCCGATTTAGCCGACTTTGTTTGTAAAGCAGGGTTCTATTACGACAAAAAATTATCAATTTAATTTGTATTATTAAATATATACTTGTGTATAATACTGAATTTCATGTTGGCACATGTATTAAAAGAGTAATGATCGGGAGTCTAACATCAATAAAAAGCATGATTTGAAAATAATGAAGAGTAAAGCTGATGGCCGAAACATATAAATTCAAAATAAACTCAAATTAGTATGTTTTTTATTGTTTTTACGCCTGATCATTAGACTCTTTATAAATAAATATAATTTCAATGGTTTTCCAAACATGTCAACAACATAAAGTCACTTACGGTAATGTTATCACATAAAGCTGGAGCACATGTTGAGACTAAGGGATGATTCATAACAGTGTCTATCGAGTTTGGAAGGGGGCGATCTTGCCTAGGCGGTAACGGTGGCGGAGTATTATTCACATCACTAACAAATGGATTTCGTTCGTGTTCCAAAAAAGAGTTCAGAATCTGTTTTGTATTATCATCTATTGACAGATCCAAATCAGTGAAATTATCCACAGAAGTCTGTTCCTGCAACCAGTCCATCATGTTTTTGTTCCGCTGAGGCAAAGGTGGAGGCGCGTCTATAACCACACTAGCATGACCCTCACGTATATCACATTTTTCGTCTGAAAAACAACGTTTGTCCTGTTGCATTTGATGATTTTTAGCATTTTTTTCAGGTTTGTTACGGTTATTGTCATCCTTTTCATTTTTCTTGGCACGTCCACCCAGGCTCAAGTTACTCAAACTTCTCGGAAAACGGGATAAAAAGTGAGGGTTAAAATGAGATGTTGTGGTGTTATCAGATTGAGCGGCATTAGTAGGAGATAAAGCAAGAGATCCCTGAAACAACAAAGCAAATGTAACAATTAATGAAATTCCTATTTTAAGTTACAAGTAAACAATAAAATTCTATGGTAAATAATGTATACATAGAGAGTAAATAATTGATGAAACACACAGAAAATTAGTGTCAAAACATACAAAATAAATAATTCCAAGTATTTATCGTTTCTAATTTCAACAATTCGGGTGCAAAAATGTGAATGTCATTGAATATTTTAAATGTTTTAAAATATTTTCCTTTGCTGATGCTATGTCCTCTATAACTGTATTTATACTTTTTCAAAATAACTACTCTTTATATATATATATATATATATATATATATACCTCTTTATTTATTTAATAAAGATAAATAGGTTATGGGATGAAGGGCAAGGAAATCATTTGTTGTGGTGGCTCTCACACCATGGACCTGCCTTCGGGCAGACTACCATTTATTATTATTATTATTATATATACCTCAGTATCAAGGGCTTTCAACTGTTCTTGAAGTGTATGAACACGAGCTTCTGCTCGTTGTATCTCTTGGCGTTTTCCAGGTTTACTTCGTAAAGTCGCCAGATGCTTTTGCTCTTCTTCTAGCATCATGCGTAATGTTTGTATACGATGCAATTCAAGTTGTCGCATTTTTTCATTCTGCAAATTAAAATTAGTATCTGTACATGGTTAAAGTTTTAAGTAAAAAAAAAAAGAAAGATATTAAATCCAACACTTAATATTGTAATTGAATGAAGATTATCGAGTCACAAATGAAGTATTTATATGAAATAACACTTACATCGACAGGTCGAGGAGCAGTTATGCCAGCTCTTCCGCTGGAAATGGTATTGTTATTTGGCGACGTAACTGTAGCAGATTGGATGTTGCGCGTTGAGCACATGTCGCCACACGTAACCCGCTGTTGTACCGTTAATACTACTTGCGCATTTGCTACAATTTGAAACATGGTCCTTATTTGCTAAGATTTTATTTGTTATCATATATATTTTAATAATATAATTTTATTATATTATCATATTATATTATATTATGTTATCATATATATATTTCTAATGTAATTTTTATGTTAATTCTCGTACACCTGCTATCTAATCAATCTGAATGCTTGAAAAAAATCTTCCAAAACTATCCAAGAATATATCACTAAAATTTGATAAACAAATTCAAATTATTTTCGAAGTTATAGAAAAAATAGTAAGCAAGTGTTGAGCAAAACAAAAACTTCGGCGCTTCGGATTTTTATTTCTTCGATTTTACCTAATACCTAATTCCCGATTCCGCGGGAAAGATAGGAAAAATACTGAACATCCTGTCGAAACCAGACAAAATTGATTGTATTCAGGATTAAATTATCTTCTAGTTGAACCTAAAAACCTTAATAAAAAGTTATAATTAACCCACTTTTTAAACAATCTAAAGTTTTTTTTTATCAAAAAACATGATTTTATTTTATGTTGCGAAAAATTTGACAAAAATCTCACTTCTTTCTGTATTTTTTAGGCTTAACTAGAATCTATACTATTGAAAATATGAACTTGTTATGGTTCCCGTAGGGTAAGCTATAGTAATGGGCCAAAAATCGAAAATAAATTTTACTTCAAGTCGTGTGTGTGTGTATGTGTGGAGACAATTTTTCGTCAACGACTTCGGGCGTACGATTTATCCGATTTGAATGGTTAAAAAAACATTCGATTCCTATTGATGAGGAGACGTGCTGATTAGTTTTTGACAAAGACAGGTCCAGTGGCTTCGGAGATATGGAGCAAAAAGTGCTAAAAATGTCAGTTTTTAAGAGAACGGATCAACAGATGTAAATGAACCAAAAGAATTCGATTCGTAATGATGGGGAGAATGAGGTGATTAAATTTTGGTAAAAGCAGGTCCAGCCGTTTCAGAGATATAGAGCTAAATGTGCAAAAAATTGCAGTTTTTGAGAGAATTAAGCATCTGATTTGAATGATTTAAAAAAAATCTGCTTGCGTTGACGAAGCAATTACTTTTGAGGAAAGATTTTTTTTTATTCAATTATATTTATAATTTTCAAAAAATTTTTTTTTTGTATATTCGGATTTTAATTCTAATTCTAGTTAAATTTCTATACTTCAAATAAATAATTTTAACTTTTCAATTCAGTTTATATAATACTTAGAAATATTAGACAATGTTCGTCATTTTAAATCCAATTGATTAAGTTTTGTTTTTTACTTTTTATAAAATAAGCATAATGAAAGTTATATTATTTATAATAATCTGTTAAATAATAATAAACATTTAATATTCCTCGAATATTTCATTAAAGTACGGAAATTTCCAGCAAATTGCCTTAAGGCACGATGCCACTTTGTTTCGGATGGAAATTGCAATACATGCACGACGTAGCGCCAGGCATATTATGACATATATTTTAATGAGAAGATAATTTGAGAAAAATGTTGAAATATATAATAATAAAACCTGAAAGTTTCGTTTTCAATTAAATATTTATCTCCTTCCCTAAAAATTCCTCAAAAAAGCGATTTTTGATGACATACCGGCGGACCTGCTGAAAGAGCTTGTGAACCAAATAAACTAAACGGACGAATGACCAAAAGACTTCTTGAATGTCACGATGATAGCTCTTCACCAAAAGCCCAAAGCAAATAAGTGCAGCGACCACAGAACGATCACTTTGACTTCGCACACAGGACAGGTTCTGGCCAAAATCGTTACGAGACGACTAGAAAATAAGATCGAGCAGCTCATGAGCGAAGATCTTCCTTTTCTAAGACCAGTTTGGTTTTAGAAAAGGAAGAAGCACCAGAGACGCCATTGGAGTATTGAAGATAATGTCGGACAGATGTTTCAACGTTAACGAGAACATCTGGTTTTGCTTCATAGATCGGCAGTAAGCCTTTGACAGAGTGAATTGGAATTTTGTGAACACTTATGGGGCAGAATCAGGCTATTGGCATATATTAAACAGAAAGATCCAGAATCTTTATATGACACAGAAAGTGAAGTTTCGAGTGAATCAAAGAAACACAAACAACGTTAAAATAGGGTGAGAAGTGCGACAAGGATGCTGCATGTCACCGATCCGAAGGCGCAGGATATTTTTCGATTGGAGGAAGAAGAATCACCACCATAAAGTACGCCGATGATCGTGGTGATATCGAAAACCAAGACCAAGCTACAAAACATAGTAAGCAGAATAGTTTAAGTGGGCGGAAAATACGGAATGGAGATCAACATCGACAAATCAAAAGTGATGAGGGTATCAAAACATGGCGATCCTCTGAATATAACAGTAGAAAATCGAGAATTGGAAGACGTTGATCATTTCAAATATTTAAGAAGCATTCTGACCAGAGACGGATACTGCACGAGAAAGATCAGGACAGAGATCGCAAGCGCCAGGGCGACATTTACGAAAATAAAAAACGCTACTGCCGAGCGAACTGAGTCTCGATTTGTAAAAGAGACTAATAAAGTGTTAAGTCTGGAGCATAGCTCTGTAAATATCAGAGAAAGGGACTCTAAGAAAGGCCGACAAGAACTATCTGCAGAGTTTTGAAACGTGATGCTGGAGACGAACGGAAAAAATAAAGTGAACAGACAAGATAACAAAGAAGTTCAGAGAAGAGTGGGAAAAGCCACGCTGAGCACAATCCCGAAAAGAAAAGGAAACTGGATCGGACCCATTCTGCAAAAAAAATTCCCATTCTCCTACACGACGAAGGCAATATAGAAGGACTGAAAGGATTGGGGTTGATGACTTACGCCGGAAGAGAAAATACAGAGAACTGGAAGCACAAGAATATATATGTATATATATATATATATATATATATATATATATATATATATATATATATATATGATGTTTAAATGAATGATTTTTTGTTTATTCGCGGCTAAACCATTGATTTTCCAAATTTATCACACAAAAAATCATCGTCTGCCACAGGCGTTGAAAATTGAAATCTTTTAAAAAGTATAACAAATTCAGAAAAAATTAATATATAGCATGCGCGGTCAAGGTACAATATCACCTTGGATTTTTCTACCCAAAATAATTGCTTCAATAATGTTGCCTACAATTTTTTATAATTTTGTACCATATTTTAACTGGCTTTGAAATTAATTAAAAACTCACGAAAACTTTAATATTATTTACTCATGCAATTATAAATTCGAATTAAAAAATATAAAAAAGAAGTTAACATGAACGGGATTCGATCCTCCGACGATACGCATAAGCATACGCAAAAATGAGAATTCAGTCACTTTACCACTAGGCTACGACTGAACTGATAACAGGGCACGTTACAAGCTATGTGTAGCGCTATGGTATAGCACGCTGCTAAAATGCAAACTTTAATTAATTTTATAATTAAACCGCTTTTCATAGGCCTCTAATGTTTTACCATGGTCAGTTTGGGCATAAAATCTACAACTGCGCCAAATTTCATCAAAATCCGAGACGAGCAATGCGCGGGTTCTCCTTGTTAGTATAGTAAGGCAAAACGACTGCAAATTGAATATTTTTGAGCGCAATCACTTATGGCTCGTCTCCTTTGCACGAATTCGTACGGCGAATCTGTTCGCAAAAGCGCAAACAAAATTATTGCAAGCAGAAGCAAATCACGAACCACGCGTACGTTGAGAACACGATTCGCCGTGCGCGTCAGACGTATGCGCCGACTGTCAGACGCATGTTATATTATTTGCATCTTATATTAATTTAATTTCTGGCACATCTCAGGTATGTCTAAAAATATTGTATAACCCTTAAATTCAATAAAATAAATTGAGCTATTGAAAATAAATTTGTTCTATAAATCGCAGTGTATAATTATTAATATATAATTTTATGGAGCATATTTTAATATTTATTAAAGGATAATTGAAGTGTTAATTGTGGGAATTGAGAATAATCATTTTATTTGAAACAGTACTACATTTAACATCACTTATATATTGGTGTAAATAGTAACTCGAAAAATATACCACATATAACAAGTAATATTTGGCAGCAGTTCCCAAAAATGTTTTATGTTACTTTTATTTCAAAACTGAATAGTGTTTTTTTATTTATGGATACAACAAAATGTGAGTTGAGAAAAGACTTTTTGCATTACTTCAATGATAAGTAAACAAAATGAAGGAATACAAATTAAAAATTTAATATATTGACCCGATTAATTACGCATAATAATACGCCCATATCAATAGTTTCTTTGACTGTGTTTATTAATAATATATTTATCATATGTTATTAATGATATTTAGATCATTTCAGACAATAATAAAAAAATACCTTAATTAGTGCAACAACTTCCGTATGAGTAGAATGTGTCACATCCACGCCGTTGACCTGGAAAATATAAATTTTAAAACAATGTCTAATGATGTATTGATAAGTAATACATCATGTTCATATGAAACTCACTTTTATTATTTTATCGCCACTATGCAGACCTGCTCTTTGTGCTGCGCCACCGTCTTTACACTCTGCACATATACAGGTTTATCACCAGATACCTACGCATAAAATGAAATAAGAATTCGTATTTTAAAACAAGATATTTTATTTGAAAAATCTAACAGCTTATTTAGTATGTATGTGCGTACATACTAAATATGTACAAAGCTGCATAATTCGAGAATTGCTTTGTTTCAATAATTACCAAAATTATTATTGAATTCCTTATTAGATTCCAACCGAATCAAAGTGCGTCATGCGTGAAATTTTCAAATATTCTGACAAGCGCATAGGAATAAGTTTTTAACAAAATTACCCATAATAATATTTAGTTGTTTTCAGTATCATCATCAGTCGATACTATTGATTGGAAATGCCTTCAATGGCGAGGAAAACTAAGGGTAAACACTACAAATTAGCTTTTATATTTGAAGTTCTAAAATTTGCTGGCGAACATTT